TCCACTGTGGCAAGAAACCAGGTCAGGAGCCTGCAAAATCAGCTCCGTTGGCAAATTTGCATGGGAGCAGAGTTGCACCCCAACCTCTTGCGAGGTTTGTCTCTGCCAGGATTGGGGCTTGCTTGCTGGATCACAGCCAGCTCTCGTAAAGCTGACCACATGTTCCTGGCCTGCCTGCCTTGCTAGGGAAACCACGAGGGCGAGAAACTTGAGTGCTTAAAAACTACACCCATTTCTGCAAGCAGGATTCCATCTGGGGGCTTTTCTTTTCTCTCCTTGCAGAAGCTTTGAGTCAAATGCTGGCAGCACTGAATGCTGAGCGGAGAGCTTTGGCCCTTCTGTGCACAAAGCCGGATCCGTTCACTCCAAAGCTGTTTGGAGCAGTGGGGGCTGTTCCTTGGGGGCCACATTCTAGTGGGGGGAGCAGGCAAAAGGGAGCAGGGCCAAAATACCAGGAAATTCTTGATGCCAGTCACCAAAGCATTGGGGAATGAAGGGGAATCTGCAAAAGGGGCTGGGAAATGCAAACCTGTGGGGGGAGCCATGGGGGGCAGAATGCCTCTCATGTGGGCCAGATGTTCCCCACTCTTGTGCCAGACCAATTGCAAAAGGTGCCCTGGAACACCCACCATCCGGGGACAAAGGCAGAAACCTGAGCCAGGAAGCCTTTCTTGGCAGATCAGACCTGAGCACTTTAAAGGTTTTCTTGAGGCCTAGAACCTTTTATACGGGACTCTTGCTGGGAAGGGAGCTTTGTTAGAGTGTAGAAACAAGCACTGAAAGGGACAGACAGAGACCCATGGTGCCTCCTCAGCCTGGTGGGTGGCTCCTTGGCCCCTCGTCTGCTGATTGGCGGGGGACAGGAAGACCGGGGGGGCTGCTGGGCTCTCCCCAATTACACCATTCCTTCCAGAAGGATCTATTTCGAACATGGGCTGGGCTGTGCTGGAAGCCCACCCTCATCCCGACCGGCTCTTGGCCAAGTGTCGCCGTTGCTCAGGATGGATCAGTGGAAATGTACCGACTTGGCAAAGAGAGCCGAGAGCAAAAATTTACGGGAAAAAGAAACGTTACTTCTATAGCCCCAGAGTTGCTGAGGTTAGGGAATTCCAGCACACTCTGAATCCTCTTGTGCAGTACTCAAAACAAAGCGAAATTGGGACGACAGCGGGGGGGGGGTGGGGGGGATAAATTGGGGAACTTCCCCCTCCCTCACACACACGCGTGAAAACCGTGCTTGCCGAAGGGAGATGATTTGAGAAGCTACAAAAAGGAGGCGGGGGGGGGGGTCCCCTACATTGATTGAAATCTTTTTTCTGTTTTACAACTTGAAACCCCGGATGTGATTCTGGCTGGGGCTGAGCCGAACTGGCATCTCTCCCCGCGACACCCCCCACTCCCCCCCATAGAGTTGCTAAAGCAGTCCTGGGCTCTCCCGAGGCATTTCAACAGGCGGAAAACACAGTCGAGCCCTCCTTAGGCCCCTCTCCAGATCGGAGCCAAGGCAGAAGCGGCCGTCGCAGCGGGAAAGTGGAAAAAGGCTGTGTTCTTTGTGAACCCGGAGCAGAAAGCCAACAATAACCGTGACGGGGCGGCAATGCCTTCCTTCCAAGGTGTGTTACAAGTTAGCCCTTTGTCCCTGGCCAAATGCACACCGGTCACACACTGGCATCTCCAGCGCTGGCAGGCAGAAGTTCACCTGGTCCTGCAGCACTCCGGTGCCGCTCCGGGAACCCGTGAGCCTCTGGCCTGCCAGCAGCTGAAGCTGGGGCACCAGCTCCCTAAGGCATTGGGGTGCAGAACTTTGGGGAGCTGGACCAGGCGCCGGGGGCTCTGGTCCCTGCTCAGCTGCAGCGCTCGCTGGGCCGGCTTGGGCTGGGCAGAGTCATGCCTCGCCTGCCTGCGATGAGGGTCCAGGGGAGAGGGGGCTGCGTGGGCAGAAGTGCGATCGATTGTGGCTTGCGTGTCTGCCTGGAAACAGGTGGCGCTGCGGGCAGGTGGTCTTGCTTTCCTGAGCTGTCCTGTTGCTTTTCTCCTCCAAGCAACCTGCAATTTGACTCCAAGGCCAGGCAAGGAAGTGGAAGGACCAGGTGGAAACACGGCAATTGTTTTGGTAACCGCTCTGTCTACTCAAAGGTGAGCCCTACTGAGGTTGCTAGGGCTTGCTCTGAAGTAAATCACGGTAGGATGGTGGCCTTCAACAAGTCTTTCTCTTTCCCTGCCTCTCCTTCCCACAACTGAACACTGGAGCAGCACCTGGCTCAACCTGCAAGGTCCTGTAAGAGGTGGCTGCAGCGTCCCTTCGGTTCGCCATTGTGCCTGAAGAGGCAAGCGTTCCCTGCGCTTAACTCCTAGCAGCCACGGCAGAGCCTCCATTTCAAGGCACAGTCTAACCCCTGAATACCGGATGCTGCAGACAAAAGGCAGGGGAAGTCCGCTCCGCTCTGGCTGCCATCGGCTGACCACTGCTGGACACAGGATACAGGGTCAGAAGCGATTTTTCATCACATCCAGCAGAGCTCTTCCGATTGCCTTAACCCCAAGAACTAACTGGGAGCAGTCTGTACATTGGTGTGGGGAGACCCCCTTTCAGGCCACGGGCCCGTTCCTTTTTGGAAATGTTTTTTGGGGCCATAGGCAGACCGGTGCGGCCAAATGGCCCTGCCTATGTTGCCTGGCAGCCCTCACGGCTGGCCATGCGGGTCTTAGCAAGGCGTTTTGACCTCTTAGGCTGGGGAACAAGCTGCCCAAAAGCCGCGAAGCAACCGAACTGCCACAGGGGTGCCCAGGCGGACCTGTGCCCTCCAACCCAAACCGAGGCAAGCCCCCTGTCCTGCTCACGTGCAAAGCTCGGCCAGCTTCATCAAGCCTTACCCAAGTCTCTGCCTTCCTGTGCAGGAATGTCTCACAGCAGGAGGGAGAGCTGCTTGGCCTCAGTGAGGGAGGGAATGGCGGGTGTGTGTGGGGGGGGGGCAGACGTGGAAAAGAGCTGCGGGAATCTTTTTTCCAGGCCCAGTGCAGATCTCGGCGAGGGTTCTGGAGACGGAATTGGTAACGGGGCAGGGAGAGGGGCTTGGAGAGGCCGGGAGAGGGAGCCTGGTGGGGGAGGGGGAGGGACAGCTCGCAAGAAACAACTTGTTCTATGCATTATCATGAATGTGCACATGGCAAGCTGTGAAGACGACCCTGGGGCATTTCAGGACGCTGTTCCTCCGGCCAGCGATGGACACGCAGCCTGGGCCACCGGGAGATGTGTGGGGCAGGGGAGGCACGCCAGGGTTGTAAATTGTGTCCGTTATCAAGGCCGCGCTCAGCGCTGTCCCTGTGGCAGCGAGGAGATGCCCTGCAGGACGTTTTACAGGCCCTCTTGGGCTTTCCCGGACACAGAGCCTGGGGGAGCTCGGCGGGTGCTTCACAGGCACTCCGGGGTCGGGGACTTTCAAAAGCTCTGTGGCTGCTTCAGGGCACTGTTCCCCTCGGCCTGCCGCCTGCAAATGCTCAAGGCAGGCCAAAGGTCGTGGCCGGAGAGCAAGCAAACATTTGTGCGCACACACACGGACAACGGTCACTTGCAGTCACCCATCAGGGAGGTTCGGCCCCCTCCCTACAGCTCTGGCCCCCTGGGAAGCCACGGAAAGGTGTGTGGCACTCATCCTTGGGCACGGAGCAAAGCATGGCAGTCCCTGCAGTGAAAGTTCCCTCTTGGGACAGCCGCGGAGGCACATGGAGGGTCCCACTGAGAGTGTGGGCTGTGCCCCCCCAGCGCTGCTCCCTCCTCCCACCCTCTGCACTGCTTTTCCTGGGTCAAGCTGCGCTCCTAGCAGCCCACCGGGACACTTGGACAAGCAGGCATCGCTGGGTTTTAATAGCGTGTTTAATGTGTTTGCTTTAATTGCATGCTTTTTCTGACTACAAGCAGCTTTGAATGCCATGGCTTGTGCACACTGTATTTTTAAACAAATAAATGCAAATAAATAAATATATAAATGCAAACACACTGGCCAAACAAGCCCTCCGAGAAATAGACACCAAGGTTAAGCAATCCGGAAACAGCAAACGTCTCCAAAGGCACCTTTCCCCCCAGCTTGCCGTCCGTCCAGTCTGTGGGGCGAACAGATCCCGGCCTCTGCAGTCAGGCCCCGCCACCCAGACCTCGGGAAGGCTGCATGCCTTCCCACGAGGAGCCCCGCAGGAACGCGCCTTATCTGCGAGGAATGCCGCCCGGCCACAAGCGCGGACTGGGGCCGGTTCCGCCTGGGGGCCGCTCGGGGCCTGGGGCGGGGGCCTAGGAGCAGCGCTCCCACCACGCCGAAGCGGAAGGAAGTGCGCCAAGGCCGGGGATCCGCAGACGCGCGCCAGGTGGGCAGCCGCTTGCTGGGGAGGGCGCGCGGCCCTTGCGCAACCCAGGGCTCCCTTCAGGGGCGGCAGACCCCCTGCGCGACCGGTGCCGGACTGCAGCGCCCGATGGGGCAGGAAGGTCCTTTGGGCCAGGAGCACCTGGGGGGGCCCGGGAGGGAGAGCGCGCCGGGGGCACGAGCCCCGGAGTGCGCGGGATCGCCCTGCGCGGCTCCGGGAGTCCCCGAAAGGGAACAGGGCTGCTCAGCTGGCGGGGCGCCCGCTTCCCCCTCGAAACGCTGCAGCGGGCCGGGCCCCTGAGGCGCCAGCCGCCGCAGCACCAGCCCGGAGGGGTGCGCGGAGCGGGGCCACGGGACCCCAGGGCGCTCGACGGCCCCGTCTCGTCTCGGGAGCCGGAGCGCCCCCGTCTCTCCCAGGAAGGGGCTCCGCGCAGGGGCGCGAGGTGCCCCCCGTCCGCAGGGGCGCCCCTCGACGGCGCCGCACCGAGCGCACGGAGCTGGCCGCCTGGCTGGCTCGCTCGCCGGCCGGGAGCACGTGGCCGCGCGAGGGGCGGAGTGGGTGGGGGGGATGGAAAATTTTCCGGAGGGGCGGAGCCGTCGGGAGAGCAGCTTAAGCCCCGGCACCGTGGCGCGGCGGGCGAGAGGTCGGACGCGCGCGGAGACGGAGAGACGTGGAACCGGAGCCGGAGCGGGTGCGCTTGCCCTCATCTGGCACGGCACGGCACGGCCCACCCCTTGCCAGCCCTTTGTCCTTCCTGGAGCCCCCCGCCCTTTTGATCTGGCCGGAGCGGGAGGGATTTGCGTCCAGGGGAGGGGGCGCAGGACGCCTGGGTTCTTTCCTCACATCGGGGAGGGGAGGGAGGCCGGTGGTTGTGGGCGGTGGCAGATGGAGCCTGAGGTGGGTGTAGTTCGGACGCCCGCGTTCTCACCTGGGCTGCACGGCGCTTTTCCCCTTTCTGCCTGTCGGTTTGGGGGGGGGGGTTCCCTCTCTGGCCCCACCGAGGTGCCCCCAGCCCCGCTCCCCTCTGAACCTGCGCCTGGCCCAGTTCTGGAAGCGGGCGGGATGACCAGCGTGAATGGGAAATTCGTTTAAATTGCACGGGCCGGGATATCTCCCCGGGGAGGCTGACCGCCCAACTCTGCGTGAGTCCCTGGGCGAGCTTCCCGTCCTCCCGAGCAGGCGTTGCGCGGGTGGCGGGTGTGGTCGCGCCTCCCCCCTTGCCGCAGATTGCCGCCTCTCGCACCGTCCATGGCTGGGACTTTCCCAGAGACGCACCCGCAACCCTCCTTCCCCTGCTCGCATTCCAGGGATGCGTTTTCTTTCCTCTAGCAAACCTCCCGGGGCATAAATGTGGCTAGTTCGACTTGAATTTGGAAGAGGGGCCCTGCCTGAATTAGAATGCCTTTTGGGGCTCCCCCCACAGTGTAGGGAATCCCCCCCCCGCGCAAGTCCTGCCCGGTGCCAACGTTGGCATCTTGTTGGCTGCAGCTCGGCTATCCACCTGGCAGGGCTGGAAAAATCTGGTGGGATTTCCTGGTCTTTGTGGTCCGTGTTTTGCCTCTCCGCTTTGCTATTGTGTTTCCCGTACTGGCCCTTTCTTCGGCTGCCTGGGAGCCCGATGATGTATCGAGTTTCTCCTCCCTGCTTTCTTCCCGATCCAGAGCCAACGCCATGTCCCTGCCGTTCGTGGTGCAGAGTCCAGACGTCAGGTACACCCAGGACTTCATCGAGGCCAGGTACGCCCATGCCACCGTGCAGGTCTCCAAGGAGGACGGCATCACCAAGGTAAGGGGCTGCAGGGGGTCTTGGCGCAGCCCTGTGGACGGGGGTGGGGGAGTGCCAGCGCCTCCGCCCCGGGGTCTGCGCTGGCTGTGCCGCCTCCTGGGTATTCTCCTGTGCCTAGCAGCCTCGAGGGGTGGGAAGCAGGGCTGGGTGGTCAGCCAAGGGAAGACGCGGCGCTCGGATTACCTGCCCGGGTTTATTCCGCATGTCTGTATCTTCTTGAAAGAGCATTTTTAACATTCCTCTGGCTGAAGCAAGACATGGGTAAGACCGGAAGCTGTGAGTGACGGACGGGGTGGCTGGGGAGGGGAGGGTGAGTTGGGGGCTCGGGACAGAAGGTGCGCAGAGGGATACCTGGAGCGGAGAAGGTGGAGAGCGGGATGCGGGAAGTCCTTTGACGCATGCTGCATCCTGGAACGATGGCGCACTCTTCCCCAGGCGGCAGGGTGGCCACCAATTCGGGTGGCCTTAAAAAGGGCTTGGACACTTCCATGGAGGAGGGGGTGCTTTCCATGGGCGCTAGTCCTCATGGTTCCTGTGCCACCTCCAGCATCAGAGGCAGGGTGCCCGTGTGCCCCAGGTACTGGGGAACATGAGTAGAAGAGAGCCATTGCAATCCAGTCCCATTTAGAAACAGGAACAGAGCAAGGCAGAAAGGGGTTCCCGGGGCATCTAGCCTGACCCCGGCACCAGCTGGCTCCACTCATAACGTGTCTGCTCCACTCATGACTTGTGAGTCTCCTGGGGAAGATGGGAGCTGCTTGCCCTCAGCTGGGGAAGGCTGCGAGGCACCAGCAGGGGAGCTGGTGGACTCGGGCGGCTCCCAGTGGAGTGAGATGCGCGGACACCCAGAGACAGGCAGACCTCCCAGTGGGGGCCGGGCTCCTCCTCAGACTCCAGGCTGGCTCTGGCAGGAGAAGGACATCAGAGGAGCCCTGAGCGGCAGGTGCAGGGAGAGGAAGCCGCTGCAAGCTGCCTTCTTCCCCGGGTGAGAGGAGCCCCACCTGCACCAGCGCCTGATTCTCTGTGCCCCCCGTCGGGGCTCCCGCAGGTCACGCCGTCCTCCGTCCACCTCACCTTCCGCACCGAGAGGCGCGTTCCCAAGCTGGGCGTGATGCTGGTGGGCTGGGGGGGCAACAACGGCTCCACCGTGACCGCCGCCGTCCTGGCCAATCGCATGGCCCTCTCCTGGATGACCAAGAGGGGCCGCAAGGTGAGCACGTCCCGGGCCCCTGTGGGGCCAGTTCGTGGGGAACGGGGGCTAAAGTACTGGCGAGGGCCAGGCGGGGGCTCAGGGCCAAGGAGGCGTGGTGACAATAACGCCCCCTCCAGCCCCCCTTCTGTCCTGACGCACTTTTGACACTCTTGTCTTTGACTCCTGGCCTGCATGGCTGGAGCCCCGGCCCCAACCAGCCGGGGAGCGCCAGCCTGGGGAGGCCCAAGCCCACCTCGGCTTCTGCTCCAGCCTGCCAGATGTGGCTTCGAGCAGAAGAAAACAAGGTCCATTTCTCAGTGCTCGGCTTCCGTCAGCCTCCTCTCCATTCCTCTTGCTCCCCTTTTCTTTTCTTGCTTCCTCTTGCTGCCTCGGGTTCCTTTCTAGGCGACTCTTCAATAAAAAAGGTTATATTAAAAATGCCAACAGATTTTGCAGCTGCCGGGGGGCTCTGATTGTCTTGGGGGGCGGGGAGAACAGCCGGCAGCAGAAACTTTGGGCACCTTTTCAGGAGGCAGCAGCTCTGTTGCCCCCCCGCCCCCCAGTGTGTCGTCCCTCTGAGCTTTGGCATGCTGGGAAGTCCGCAACGGGATGCCGCGAGGCCGGCTGCCTCGAGCGTCTCTCCAGACAGCCTCCCTGTAGAGCCAGCTTGTCCCTGCCACATGTGCCTTTAAGCCCCACCCCACCCCGCTCCCCCGCCGGAGGTTTGGACCACCAGATCCCATCGTCCCTCGGGCCATCCTCAGGCATGTGAGCCCGAAACACCTGGAGGACCTGGTTGTTTGCGGCTGAGCCGGAGCATGCTGCGAGCCGGGGAGGCCAGCTTGCCAGAACTGAAGGCCGGGAGGGCTGGAACGGGCCAGGGACCCATGTGGCTAAAGGGGCGAGCTGGGAGGCAAATAAGTAAATGGACAAACAAGCAAATAAACAAGAGATGATTGAATCAAAGCAAGGCCACCCAGCCCTCACCGCTGCGGGGTTCCTGCGCGCCCCCAGACAGCCGCTCCACACTCCCCACTGCGGCCAGCGATCTGTGCTTGTGGGCATGTGGGTTGGCCTGCCCCCCCAGCCGGCCTCCCTGGGGGTGTCCAGGGCCCCAAAGGCCACACAACCGTGGAGACCCCGGCTTTCTGCAGTGATCTTGGACTGCAGCAGCCGCCGTCCTCGCTGGCCACCCTGGCTGCAGGGTGATGGGCTTTGTTGCCCCACACGCCCCAGATGCCAACCGGCTCCAGCCACAGGTGGCTTCCTGGGCCGGGGTGGGGAGGTCCCACCATCTGTGGCGTGAGAGTTGGCCGAAGGGCCCGGCTTTCAGGGGCAGCTGGCAGTTGAGGAAGACCCGGGGCGACAGCGCCTCTCCCCACTCATGCAAGGTCCCCCCCTTCTCCCCCAGCACGCAAACTACTACGGCTCCCTCCTCCAAGCATCGACCGTGTGCCTGGGCAGCGGGCCTTCCGGCGATGTGTACGTCCCCTTCCGCGACCTGCTCCCGATGGTCGATCCGAACGACATTGTCTTCGATGGTACGTGGGGCTCCCGGCACACAGCAAAAAACCCTCTGCTTTGGCATGCGTGCCTCCCCTTCTCACCCCTTGGCAGCCTGCGTGGCCGCCCTCCTCCTCTTCGTTTCATCCTCTCGACACCCCTGCGTGCCGGGTCAGGCCCAGCATCCGTGGCTGGTCCAAAGAGACCCACTGAGCCCAAATCTCAGTCCAACTTCTCACAGACTTCCGTGAGATGAGCCTGGTTTCACAGCTCGTTTTTGTTGGTTTTTAGTGGTTATTTTGTCCCCGTTACCTTGTGATGGAAGCAGCTTATGTGTTCTGAAAAATGGAAAGGGGGCTCCAGGAATATGTCTGCTTCTTTCCAATTGGTGGGTCTTAGAATCTCAGTAGCTAGCCTGGGTGTGTTATCTGGGTGGACTGCAGAATATCCTTTCCTATACTTGTGTGAGAAAAAGATGTCTAGGCTGCTTGCAACAATTTAAAACTGCTCAGGGTGTGAGCTTGTGCCTCTCTTGCAGCTTCCACCTTTATCCTGTAGGTCCTTTCCAGCCCGTATAGCACAACAAGCAAGGCATGAAAAATAATAAAGGTGCAATTTAAAGCCCTCAAAACAGCAAACAGCACCATCATTTGAAAGATCCAGTGAGGGAGGGGGGAACTTGGGGACTACCAGCTGTTTGGGCCTGCAGTTCCCATCATCCCTGGCCAGCGGAGCCCATAAGGGGATCATGGGAGCTGTAAGCCAAAACACCCGGCCCACCTCTGTGAGTGGTTGCTTTTGCATGGGTCCCAGGCTGCCTTTGGTGGCTCAAAAGGACCTGAACAGTGCCGTGGATCATTCAGAGTTCTCTGACCCAGTGCCTTCGGGAGGTGTGGACCACAGCTCCCGCCATCCCCAGCCACAGCGACCCATGGCGACCGCGGGAGGAGTTTGAGGTCAGGGCGTTTGACCGAGAGGCCCGCTCCGTGCAAGCGAGGGGAGGTCTGCCCTGCCCACCGCTTCCGGAGCCGCTCTCCAGCCCTGCTTGCCCCCCGCCAGGCTGGGACATCTCCTCGCTGAACCTGGCCGAGGCCATGCGCAGGGCCGAGGTGCTGGACTGGGCGCTGCAGGAGCAGCTGTGGCCCCACATGGAGGGCCTGAAGCCGCGGCCCTCCATCTACATCCCCGAGTTCATCGCGGCCAACCAGGAGGAGCGGGCCGACAACGTCCTGACGGGGACCAAGGCTGAGCAGGTGCGTGGCTGGGAGGGACAGCCCTGGAGGGTAGGCCGGCCCCGTCAGCCCCCTATTTCAGTGTGGGGCAGCGGAGGGCCCCTGCAAGAAGGCGTTGAGTGGGGGACTCTTGGTGAAGCTCATGCTCTCCTCGGGCTGTGTTGCTCGCGCGGACGCCCACGATGGCCCTGGGGAGCTCCGGACAAGCATTTTCCAAACAAAGCTGGCCGCAGACAGTTTCTGGACTTGCAGGCAGAGACTCCACATGCTGGCGTGGAGGCCTCGAATGGGTTGGGGAAGCGGGAAGCAACATTCTTCAAGTGGAAAACCTGCTTAGAAGAGAGAATGCTTCTGTAATTGAATTTTCACAAACTCGGGTTGGCTTGGAGGTTTTATATTTCACAAAGAACTAATCAGAAAGAGGGCAGAATAAAGTTACAAGGATCTCTGTTCATGCAGCTGCAGCTCGCTCTGCCCAGAGCGCCAGACCTTTGCAGAGTCTGGGTTAGTAAAAACTGCTGCATGAGCTGGGCTTAGCCTTGCAGGCCCAGATCCGAAGCGTGACTGGGCATTTTCCCTTCCTCCTCTGCTCTTGGTGTGTGCATGTGCGCATGCTGGGTGAGCCCCGCCTGAGTTGTTTGACTATCTGTAGCTGGCCTCTGACATTTGCTCCCTCCCGCTGCTCCCCAAATCATCTCACTCCTGCCCCGAAGATGGCTCAGATCCGCCAGGACATCCGAGACTTCAAGCACTCCAGCGGGGCGGACAAGGTGATCGTCCTCTGGACAGCCAACACGGAGCGCTTCTGTGACGTCCAGCCTGGTTTGAACGACACGGCCGACAACCTGCTCCGAGCCATTGAGGTGGGACGTCCGGGCGCCCCTCTCGCTCCCCTTCGCTCCCACCCTGCTTACGTTCTTTCTTGCGCTTCGTGGCATGATCAATGCCTCAGCCCCGGGCCCCGCCGTGGCGCCAAATCTAAAACCGTTCCGGAGCGCACTGGAAAGCCAGCGAAGGCCCCCCAGGGTATTCTCTGGTGCTCCGCACATACCTCGTCCCTGACCCCAGGAGAGTGTCGCCTCCTCTGTCCATGGGATTCCTCATCTACTGCAGCTTCCCAGCTTTGTAGGATTGCTGAACTCCACGGATAGCTTTGCCACCCTGGATAGCTCCTACGAAGCCGAAAAGAAAAGCTGCAGTGGGTAAAGAGCCCCGCTGATGTAGTGAGTCCAGCCCATAATTTCCCTCACCAGGGCTCCCCAGACCGTGGTCACCCATGTGTTCTTAGCTCAGCCTTGTTCCCCCAATCCCCTGACAGCCTGGCTCTTCCAGTGTTTGGACTGCAGTGCCCATCATCTAACTGGCAGGGCCAATCACCAAGGATGCCGGGAGTCGTAATCCAGAACATCTGGAAGGCTCCAGCTGTGGGGAGGCTCGCTTGATGCTCAGGCTCACGGGCCTGGACAAGCCCTCCTGGGCTACGTAAGCCGACCTCTCTTTCCACGGAGCCAGGTGGGAAAGTAGCTCCAAAGGGCTTGGTGGCCGGCAGGAAGAGTCTGTGCGACATAGGCAGGTGTCTGGGGGGTTTGGCCTCGCCCCGTTGTCTTTTGTCCCCCTCCCCACGAGAGGGGGGTTTTGCGGGGCAGGGTCCCAGCCTTCAGCATCTTAGCTCTGCCTGTGCCACAGATTGCGAGTCCTTCTGCCCGTCTGCTTGGGGCTGCAAAGATCCTCTGGGGGCGCGTTTGCCTGCCGAGAGCAAAGCTGTCCCTGTGGAGCTGCCTGGACCTGCGCAAAATCTTGCAGACACAGGCATATTGCCCTTCACCTGCAGAAGAAAAGGCAGACTTCAGTCCTTTGTATATTTTTCCATGGCTACGTTTCTGTAAAAGGGCACAAAGGAAAAGCAAAAATAGCCGTCTGCATGGCTGGGGAAAGCCAGTCTGTGGCCCTGAGATGGCTCGGGCGCACGGAAACACAGATGCGTTTGGGGCCGCTCGGTGCTCCTCCAGCACCCTGTGGCCAGACCCCTCAAAAGGGACCGAGGGATCCTGGATCTTCTGGGGGGGGGGGGGGGGGCTGCAGAGGATCTGCCTCCCGGGCCAGTTCTGCCCCCACAGCCCCTTCTGCTGCGTTCCCCCAGAGCGGCTCGGAGGTGTCCCCTTCCACACTTTTCGCCGTGGCCAGCATCCTGGAGGGCTGCACCTACATCAACGGCTCCCCCCAGAACACCTTTGTGCCGGGGGCAGTCGACCTGGCCATCCAGCGGGGGGTCTTCATCGCTGGCGACGATTTCAAGTCCGGCCAGACGAAGCTCAAATCCGTGCTGGTGGACTTCCTCATCAGCTCCGGGATCAAGGTGAGTGGCAGGGGCGGGCTCACCCTCCTGGTGGCCCGACTCGCCCGCAGGCACGCCAGCTGCTCAGCGGAGGAAAACCCAAGAGAAATGGCGCGGGGGCGTGTCCAGCCCCGCAGGCCTCGCTGGTGCCCCCAGCCCCTGCTGCTGTCGCTGCCCCCCTCCTCTAACCGCTCGTTGCTGAGGTGGGGTGACGGAACGCTCCCCCCACAGCCGGTCTCCATCGTCAGCTACAACCACCTGGGCAACAACGACGGCAGGAATCTCTCCGCACCGGCCCAGTTCCACTCCAAGGAGCTGTCCAAGAGCAATGTGGTGGATGACATGGTGCAGGCGAACGCCGTGCTGTACGGGCCGGAGGAGCGCCCGGAGCACTGCGTGAGTGGGCGCGGGGGGCGGGGGCGGCTGGGGTGCCTCGTCCACCTGGCGGGGCGGGGGGCCTGTCCGGTGGCTGCTTCACCGATGCGGCCGCCCTCCCCCGGGCCAGGTGGTGATCAAGTACGTCCCCTGCGTCGGAGACAGCAAGCGAGCGATGGACGAGTACACCTCCGAGATCGCGCTGGGGGGCACCAACACCATCGTCATCCACAACGTGTGCGAGGTGGGTGAGGGCCTCGGCCCGGGTGGGCGCGGTGCCGCGTCTGGCGATCCTGGGGCCCCTGTGCCACGAGTGGGGCTCCCAGCCATCCAGGCGTTCCGCGCGCCCACGCGGCACGTCATGGGACGGGACGAGAACCGGGGGGTCCCCCCTATTCCCCTGGGAGGCCTCGGGGTGTTCTCTGGCCATGGAAAGAGCCATTTGTAAACGCGGCCACGGAGCAACCCAGCCTGTTGAAGGGTTAGAGAGGCGTCTGCGTCACAGGCACCGAAAGGGACAATCACTGGATCTCCCCGAATCGGGGGGAAGCGGGGTGGGCAAGCGAACGGGTTGCGCTGACCTTGCCGGGCCTGCCCTCCCCCCAGGATTCCTTGCTGGCCTTCCCCATCATCCTGGACCTGGTGATCCTGGCGGAGCTGTGCCAGCGGATCCGGGTGGGCGTGGAAGGAGAGGGGGAGCCGCAGCCACTGCACAGCGTCCTGTCCCTCCTGGGCTTCCTCTGCAAAGCTCCGCTCGTCCCCGAAGGCGCCCCGGTGGTCAACGCGCTTTTCCGCCAGCGGGCCGCCCTGGAGAACCTGTTCAGGTAGCCGTCGCCGTCTTGATGTACCACGTGTGGTCAGCGTGGCTCGAATCGGCCTCTCGGGGCCGGCTCATGCAGCGCAACAGGCCGGGGCACGGGCTGCCGTGCGTTGTGGTTGCGGTGCCCTCTTAGCCACAGACAAACCATAGTTCAAGGACAGGCCTTCTCTCTTGGTTAGCACGCTGTGCTTTGTTGGTGCGGCTGGGTTTGCACGGTGCAACAATGCACAATTCAGCTGCGGTCCTTCAGCTGCAACCCACACACAACCTGTGCTCTTCCCTACTGTATGGTGTGAACCCCGTCTCTGGCCTCCCTTGCTCCTGTGGGCTGGTTTCACAGTAACCCACAAAAGTGGAGTATGAGCTGTTGCCAAGCCATGGGTTGTGGAAATCAATCTATTTATTTATTTATTATTTAAAACTTTTCTATACTGTCCCGTCACAGTTGTCTCAGGATGGCTTCCGACAACATTTATAAAAAAAAGAATAAAAATAGAAGTCAAGAGTAGCACAGTATCCAATGCTTGGTGTAAATCCACAAATTAAAACAATTTAACAATTAAAATACCAGGAGGATAGAAAGGGTTTTGCCTGGCCCTGAAAGGAAAGAACTGCTGGCACCCGGTGAAATATGGCCGAAGAAAGCATGGTTGGTTAAACCACAAACAACCCACAGTTTACAACCCACCAACAAACCATGGCTTCTCCTCCTGGCTTGTGTGTGGCTAACAGAAATTCAGACTTGGCAGCAAGCGCAGTTCCGTAACAAACCGTGCTCGGCCATGCGCAAGTCACTGGGCTTCACCTGGTGCTGCAGCACGGCATTGCAGAGGGCTGAATCGCTTGGAAGTCGGGGTCACCCCATGCCTGCTTTCGCCCCAAGAGGACCCTTCTGGGCAGTGGGAGGGCTGCAGCTTTCGGACGGTGCTGGCACACACCCGCTCTTCACCAGGTGTGCATGGAGGGCAGGCAGACGCTCTGCTCCCCCAGCACCGCCGGCCCTTCCATGGTGGGGAGTGGGCGCGGACCCCCGTGGGCTTGGCCAGGAAGGCCCAGGAGAAGCCACCCGTCCGCACGGGAAACGAGCCGGGGATGTGTGTCACACGCGGTTTCCCGACCGAGAGGTCGTCTGTGCTTGGCTCACCTTCCGGGGCTTCAGAAACCCCCAAGATGGCCCCCATTGAGCCTCAGGCAGGCTTTTCACCTGCCAGTGCCCCCCCCCGGCTGCCAGCAGATGTGCAGGTAACCATAGCAACCCCACCTGGGGAGTCGTCTTCTCACTGGTGGGATCGCCATGGCAACCTATGCACAGCTTCCCCATGAGGGTCCCCGCTTCCCCACTCCTTCAACCCAGTTTTGCTAAGACTGGTCTCTAGCTTCCAACCTGCACCGAGAGAACCATCCCCAACGCAGGGCCCACCAAGCGTGCTGGACTACAACTCCCATTGTCCCCTCCCAGCAGGTCCAGGCTGCACAAGGAGCATCCCTGGCATGCTGTGTGGTGAGCCCAGCGGCTGGCCGACTCCACAGAGTATCAGCCCCCAAACGGAAAGTTTGAATATGGGTCAGGAGCTGTGGAGCACAAGCCACCCTTGAGTCCCTGGCTTGCTGTTGGGTTGTGACCTGTGGGTCGTCTTGCCGCAGTTTGCTGCGTTCAGACAACACAGGAATCCACCTTTCAACACCAGCCCCTTGAGGGTGGGTTACCGAGTTGTGTGAATGCCGCCACTCGCTCAGATAGAGGGAATGTTCAAGGGACACCCGCCTCTCGCCACCTTCAGGGAAACGTCTGAGTTTGTTCTGAGGCGGAGGGCTTTCCTCCTCCATGCTGACCCTCTCCTCTCGTCTGGGTTGTCTCCCGCAGGGCCTGCGTTGGGCTCCCGCCCCAAAACCACATGCAGCTGGAATACAAGGTGCAGCAGCCGTGGGGCAATGCCAAGCACTTCTGCCCGCCCTCCAAGCTGGCCGCTGCCAAGAAGACAGCCCCCCACCTGAACGGCTGTGTCTGCCCCCTGGCAAAAAGCAAGGGCCACCCGGACCCCCACAGCCCCTTAGCTGGCGTGCAGAACTAGAAGCCTCCCGGGCCACCCGCCAGTGGCGCGCAGTAGCCGGCGCAACCCTGCAGCCTGGGGGGCCAGCTCCTTCTCTCCCCCCGTCTCTTTTGCATCGGCTAGTTGGGGTTTGCGCCCACTAGGGCAACGGCAGTGCCTTTTCCTGTAGCCCCCCCAGCATCGTTCAAAAGCTGACCCTCCCACCGAGTGTGAAATAAAGTGTAATCCGAACCTGCCCGTCTGTGTTGTGTTTTTGCACCTGCTGCACGCGGACTGGGGGCCACGGGCTCCCCCCCATTGCAGCACCGAGGCTGCCAGGACGGACCGAAATGGCCCTCGACATCCCGGGCTGGAGACCTCCGGCTGCTGGGAGGGGAAACAAAATCTTTGGCTGCCCATGAACACCACACAAAGACCTGACGGCTGCTGGACTGGGACCCGGGATGGGTGTCCTTGGGCATGGGTGGATGCTGGGAATTGTAATCCCCCTGGAAAGAGGGAAGCCTGCTTTGCAGGCTTGCTGTGGGAATCGCTTTCCACATTGGAAGCACGGCTTGGGGCGAAAGCCCCGTGGCTTCAGCAACCGCGTGAGAGGGGCTGTGGACGTTCAAGAGCAGTTCTCCAGCATGTGCTAGGAAGGTGCGTGTTGCACCATCTTGTGTGTTACGCCATCTTTCTTCTGGCAATGTGCTTTTCTTAAAAAAAAGACCCACACGAAAAATGGAGTACATTTATTGATGCGCAAGTTCTCATAAAAATGCAAGGTTTACCCCAGGATGGCCGCTGCGTGACAGCAGGTGCCATCTTTGTTTACACAAATGGCAATGCACAACAGCTGACATCCTGTGCTTCTGCCGCAGCCCGTTGCAGGTGGGGAAGCACCTGACCCCCCCCCCCACAAACCTGGGCGCAGCCCGTTGCCATCACAGAGGTCAAGGCAATCGGCCGGGCAAGTCTCTGTCATACCTCCTTGGATGAATTCTGGACTGGGTCCAGGCCTTTTGGGGGTGCTTCGTACAGCGCCTGGCATGATGCAGCCACACTCAAACCGCAGGGCTGGCAGAAGCCAGGAGGCCTCCCCCAGCCTGCAACCTATCCAAGGCCGGAAGCTGGCTATGGGGGGTGGGGCAGGGTGGGGGGGACAGAACCCCTGCTCCAAGCGGCCCCCTCCACCACCCAGACCAACCCAGGGGGCCTCCCATCCCGTGCTGTGGCCCTCTCCCGCATCCCCCCTTATGTCCCCCCCAATTCCTCTCCTCCCCCGCCAGGCCCCGGCCCCAGATTGGGCCCCATTCAGACTCTCCCCACAGATGCGCATGCTTGGCTCCCGCCTCCACCAACAAGCAGGTGGGCAGGTGACCCCTGGTGGCGCAAGCCGGGGCCAGCAAGCGCTGGTGCGGGGGGCGGTCCGGCGTGGCCAAGGCTGCTCCGAAGCAGGAAGTGGCGCAGCCCCGCGGGAAGGTCCGGTGGTGCCCCAGAGATGCTCGCCTGGAGGAGGGCGCGCTGGACGGGGCGGCCCTTCGGGGGGCTGGCGGGGCCGGGGCAGCTGGGGCCACGGGCATCGGGGCCGCTCGGCCGGGCCGGGGATCCGGGCAGCATCACACGGTCATACTGGGCGAATACTGGAGGGAGACAGGCAGGCCGATGGGGCACGTCACCCCCGAGAGGCGCAGGGGCCCGGCACGCCTTCCTCGGCTGCGGGGCGCAGCGGAGCCCCCCCCCCGCGTGCCCGAGCACCCGGCCCACCCACTGCCGCCCTGCGCAGGCCTTACACTCTCGCCTCGGAGGGGGGCCAGGAAGCCGCTGCCCGCCTCGCTGCTGCTGCAGGTGCTGTCGTCCCGTGGGGTGCCCAGCGGGTTGGCCAGCCCCACCACGCCGCCAGGGGAGTTCTGCGGGCCGGGGAAAGAGGGGCGAGGGCTGGGTGAGCAGCCAGCGGCTTGAAAGAAGAGGGGCGCCTTTCCACTGGTCCGCAGGGAGGGCGCAGTCCCTGTGCAGAAGGGCTTGGGGCCGAGCCCAGCCTGTGGAGGGCCAGTCTGGGGACTCGGAGCTGGCCCTGGCAGCTTCCCAGCTGGTGTGCAGCTCGGCAAAGCCCTGCAGGGAACACCTGCCGGCCCTCCCTGCTTCCTGGCTTGCCCACCACCCAACCCGCCCCCACCCGGGGCAAGAAATGGCATTCAGCTGAAAGAGGGCGGAGTGAGCCACGGCAGGCATGTTAGCTCTCACTTTTCCCTGCATGTGACCTATTGTGTGGCATTTTGCAAATCCAGAAAGAACTTAAAGAACTTGTTTCTTAAATGCAGGGAATGAAAGCAGAAATTTACAGTCTGCAGCTGGGGAGGCAGGGTACTGCAGGATGCAGACGGGAAGGGGCAGGGGCTTCTCCGGGTGCGGAAGTGGGGTGGTTTCCCTCTGGCGCAGCTGTGGTCACCCTCGCACGGCCCCGCCCCGCCCCCAAAGCCACCTGGACCACACGGCCCTGTGCATTCCGCTCACCTTGGGCATCCCGTCCATGTCTCCGGGACCTGCAAGGAGAATTCAGCCAATTACTGACAGGCCCACTGCCCGGCTCCAACGCTGGAGAGGAGAGCCGCTAGGAGGAGCCCCCACCAAGCCGGCGGAAAGCCCCCCTCACTCACCAGCAGCAGAACCCAATGCCCCTTCCTCCCCCAGAACCTCCCCTCCCTGCCGGGGGTCCAAAGCACGGGCCACTCCACAGCCGGCCTGGTACCTTGGCTCAAGAACCCCTCAGTTCATGACCAAATCAGGTTGCAAACAGATATTTCAGGAAAAAATTCGCCTCAGGTTGCGAACTCCGCATGGGGCGACGATCGCGATCACGCCCGTCTTCCCTGCCCGAGCACGACCACAATTGCGCCCGTCTATGGCCGCGATCGCTGTCACGCTCCTGCAGGGAACACGGGTGCGATCGCGGTCATGCTGGGGGGTGGGGGGGAGATGGTCGCGATCTTTGCTGTTCTTCGTCACTTTGCTTCACATTTTCCTGATTTAAAAAACAGTTGCAGAACAGATTCACCTTATTTACACTGAACCTTATGGGGGAATTGGACTCACAACCAATTCGGGCCATGACCAGAGTCCTGGAGAGGACAGAGTTCGTGAGCCGAGGCGCCACTGTATTCCCTTCCCTTCTGCCGGCGTGGATGTGATGTTTTGCATTTTATAAGGCCAAGAGCGGAGAATAAAGAAAGAAAAGTCAGCTCCCCGTGGGCGGCTTGGCAGATACTGCCCCGTGCCAGCTGGGGGAACAGAGATGGGGGGTTTTCTTCACAAGTTTCGGGGCCGAGCGAGTGTCTGTTTCAGTTGCTCCTTCCTTTGCCATCCATTTTAGGTAGTCCTTGCGGTTGTTGTTATCCAGCTGGTCACACTCATACTGGAACCGAAGTCTCACCAGCCCCAGGCCAACACTTTCAACCCCGCTTGAGCCCACACTAAGCCCATCCCCTAAAGTTAAAGCAAGGGTCTAGTCCTCATGGTTCTCAAGGGAAGGCTGATTTTAAACAGGAGCGCAAAACCAGCTCTGCCTAATCCTCCATGACTGGACCCAAGTTGTCTGGAGAGCATCACAACCACGAGGGAACTCAGGCACCCTCTCCGTGTGCCAACTTTTTGATTGGAGGCTTCCAGGGGCAGGGATCTGTTGGCTTCCGTGCCACGAAGTCTAGGACCGAGGGAGGGGGTCAAAGAGTCTTTCGCCAGGCTGCCCAGGCTTTCGACCCGATGCCTGCTGGGCACTGCTTCACCCACCTAACGATCCATTCAAGCGATGGGGCTCCAGGGTGTTCATCCCGGGCATCGGGCCCTCCGGACTGGGCCCCATGGAGAACTAGGAAGAGGGGTGGGAGGAGAGGGGAGAAAGAGAACTGAAGTGCAGGACAGGAGGGGAGGGAAAATTCAGGTTTCTTGGGAAAGCGCAAGCGCCCTTGAAGTCCCTGCGGGAGGGGGCAGAGCCCGAGGGCTGCAGACCCTTCAGGAGGCGCTCCTGGGGCCGCAGGGAGGTGGGGGGGCACAGAAAGGGGGGGCAACCCCACATGGTTCTCCTTGCTGGGAGTTTTCTTTCACCTTCGAAGCGGAGGAGCTGTGCCAAAGGCAGAACTCACTCGCTTGGGTTGGGCAATGGGGACCGGCTCCAGGTGGGCTGGGGGCTGCGCCAGCGATGCCGGCCCCCTGCCAAGCGGGGACGGAAGGCGCTGGGCCGGCGGGCACTTACACTGGGCCGGCTCCCGGCAGGGCCGACGGAGCTCATCATGTACATGCTTTCGCTAGAGTTGGTGGAGTCTGCGGAGAGAGAAGGCGGCCAGTAAGATGGAGGCTGGGAAAGCCACCCTGGGGCCTGGCGACTCCTGAAGGCAGAGCCTCCCTCCAGGCCCCCCACAAGATGGGCATCAGCTGCCCCCGACTGGGCAACTGGGCTTCTTCGCTCCCCAGAGCCCTGAGGCTGGGACCAAAGTGCCCCAGGGCCCAGTTTCCAGCAGAGGACAGCCAGATGCTGCACGCAAGGCTCCCAGCCCTGCCAGGCGTGCCCTTGGGGCAGATCCAGACCTTTCTGCATCCAAGGGGCAGCCTCTTTGAGCTGGATCGTCTCTTGGCCACTCCCTCAGCCTTCGGAGAGGAATTCTGAACTTGCACAATAACACAGGGAGCTGTTGGGGGAGCAGGGAGACCGTCCCCATGACGTGCACGAGCCATTTCCTCCCAAATTAGCCCAAAAGCACTCACCTCCCGGGCTGGGTGCGAGGGGTGTGCTGGGCAGGCCTCCACCTCCAGGGGTGCCCTGTTGGAAGAGGGGGAGACGGGGGCAGAGGGGGTGCTTGTTCGGCTCCTTTAAGCAGGCTGCCTTGCAGAGTTGATAACATGTTTGCATATCTGCATTAGCATCAGCAAATTTGTGCTTTCTGGGGGGTCCTCAAACCCCTGAAGCTTTCTGGCACCTAATGCTGCCTCCTTTAGAAGCCCCTCGAAGCAGGCTGAAGCTTTCCCCCCATCCACAGGCACAGCCCCCAGCCTCCCCGAGACCCACATTCTGCTTTCATGGACCATCCAGCCCGAATTCTCGTGCCAACGCACAGAAACTCACCCCGAAGCTGCTGGGAGAAGAGGAAAAGACCTAGAAGGATCGAGAGAGAGAAAACGCACGTTAGCCCCGGAGCGCTGGGCGAATCCACGCATCCTGGACTCAGTCCCTCCGTGGCCCTTGCATACCGAGCTCGTGTTCATGTTCGGCCATGGGCTGCGCACTGCCGGCCCCCTGCAAAGAGAAGCAGGCCTCGCTGATACCTCAGAAGCTGGGTGGGGGCCCGGGGCTGGGAGGGGCCGCTCCGCCACGCGCCACGGGAGGCCAATGCGGGCGACTTACGTGTTCACGGTGGCCATGCCGGGGCTGGGCCTCATCCCGCCACCATAATGCTGCAGGGAGCAAACGCAGGAGTCAAATCTGGGGTGCAGCGTAAGGGGGAGAAATCACACGTTTCTCTCTCGAGGCAGCCCCCCCCGACTCCTCGGGCTGGAGATGGCCTTTCCCTGCAGCTTCTCTGCTTTCCTGGGGCCTTACCTGCTGCCTCCTCCATAGCCGCAGGCAAAGGTTTTTACGAGACGAGTGTGTCCCTCTTGTGCAGGCAGGAGTTGCCAGCCTCAGACCAGCCCTCCCCGACCCATCTGCCTTCCAGCTGGGTTGGAATGCAACTTCCAGCATCCCCAGCCAGCAATGCCCATGCAGCGGCCCTTGCGCATTCTCCTCTAACTAAGCCAGTTTCCCAAGTCATCTATGCTCGAAAAAGTCTCTGCTCCCCCCACCTGGAACTTTTCTGCACCTTTCAGGTGTGCCATGACAAGGACTCACCTGCAGGGCAAGGCTGGTCATGGCACGTGGCGGGGTCATGCGCTGCATTGGGGCCATATTGGGGTGTCCTGCTGGGAAGGGAAGGAGGGGAGGAGACTCTGAAGTGCTCTTGTTTCTCTTAAGCAGCTAGTCTTCAAGGATTGGCGGGCAAGGATGAGATAGGGGGGCAGACTCCAAACAGGCTCTCTCCATCCCGCCTGCTGCAGGGGTCCCCATGCCAGCCCCCCCTTGGCCCTCCCCACTGTTGCCCAATACTTACCTTGCAGCCGGGTCCCAGGGTCCATGGCAGTGGGGATCAGGGGCTGTGGGGCAGGCACACCCACGGGGGGCTGTGGCGGGGGGGGGGGGGAAGAGCAGAGCAAGAGCAATCACCACCTGGACATGAAAGCAGTGGCCACAGGATTCGGCCCCATAATAATCAGAAAGTTGGCACAGTCCAATGTCGGGACTGCACCTGTTCCGTCAGCCATGGGGCCCTTCCAAGACCAGACGCAGTGGCAGGGCTGACCTTCCGGAACCCCAAAGCTTCGGGACAGGGCCCCCTGAATGAAACCCTTCACCCCACTGCCCATTGCGAATCACTCCTGGGCTAACACACCAGCCTTCTGGCACAAACAGCACACCTGCCAGGTATTGACAGGTGCATCTGTATCTTATGTCCGTATCGTGCAATTGCTCCTTCCTTTGGTCGTGGCCATTCAAGATGGCTTACAAATACATAAAGGGATAAATAACTATCTCGGGGATAATTTAGGGACCTCGGGGTGCTGGTCGACTGCAGGCTGAACATGAGCCAGCCGTGTGATGCGGTGGTCAAGAGGGCGAACACCACCCTTGGTTGCATAGCCAGAAGCGTGGCTTCCAGATCGAGAGAGGCGTTACTACCACTCTATACTACTCTGGTGCGCCCGCAACTGGAGTACTGTGCTCAGTTCTGGGCCCCTCATTACAGGAAGGATATAGCCAGGTTGGAGTCAGGGCAGCGAAGGGCCACAAGGTTGGTAGCCGGTTTGCAGGGGAAGCCATATGAGGTGAGACTGAGGGAACTGGGTCTCTTCAGCCTGGAGAAGAGGAGACTCAGAGGGGATCTGTTGGCGACATACAGGTGTGTGAGGGGGTGTCACATGGAGGTGGGGAGAGACCTGTTCTCCCCTGCAGAGGAAGGCAGGACGCGCTCCAATGGAGCAAAGCTCGGGGAGCCAAGGTTCAATTTGGATGCCAGGAAGCACTTCCTGACAGTCAGGACCCTGAGGGTGTGGAATGGGCTTCCACGAGAGGTGGTTGAGCCCCACTGGTGAGGGTGTTCAAGGACAGGCTGGACATGCACATGGTGGGCATGCCATGAGAAGAGCTGGCTTGAGCCCGGGTCAGGCTAGATGGCCCAGGGTACACCTTCTGCCTCGCTCGGTTTCTATGATTCTATAAATAAATTAACCTACATAAATGAAGAAATAAATAATCAGGACAGGGCCAAGCAAGCACCTACAACCTTTATCAGGAGCATTTGCACCTCCTCCTGTCCAAGAACCAAATTTTGCTTCTGAGAAGTTCTTAGGGGTCTTCTGCACTTCTGAGCTATTCTCTTGCAACTGTCGTTTTACTGGCCAAGGTGACTCTGAGTGGGCACTGAGTGCTTCCCCTGCTTTTCCACACACCCAGCCCCAAGAGTGCAGGGGAGACCTTGGAAAAAATACTTTTAAAGGCCACACACACACACACACACACACACACCAGACAATTATCCTGGCAGCCTGGAGGGGCTGAATTCCAAGTCCCATCTTTCACTGCCAGCACGGCCCGTCTTTCCCACCTGCCCTGCCCTGGGCGCACTGAAGGCCTCACCTGAGCTGGCATTCGGAGTGGGGGCCGGAGGCCGCCGGGGAAGCGCGAGGACACGAAGGGCTGCAGAGGGAGAGAGGGCATGGGTGGGCAGCCCGAACGACCCCGTCGCAAGCCAGAGAGGGCTTGGGGTACGCCGGGCGCCCTGCGGCACATGAGCAGGCGCTGCACCGGATCCGGGCCCCTGCGGCAGATGGGCTGCAGGGAGAACCAGGAAAATGACTCCCACCGCCCTCCTCCCGGCACATGTGCTGAATGCGACTTCTGGTGCCCCCACTCACGAAAAGGATTATTAAATTTTACTGCTCATCTGGGGGGTGGGCACGATGGGGGGCCAAGCTGCTGCAGCGAGCACTGCCACAAAACACCCGGCTGGCGGACCGCCGCTTTGGCTTGTTCCTGCTGCGTCGTCAGATCCAAAGGTGCATCGTATACAGCAAAAACATTTGCTTTGCTGCCGAATTTGGCTCTTTGCTGCGGGTGCAGCTCAGATGCACCTCAGTTAAAAACATTCTGGGAATGATTGGGAATTACGTCTTTGCAGAAAAAGGCTATGATTTTGTATTGGGATCCAGCGGGGTGCGGAACGAAGCCTGAGACACAAAACCACGCAGGTTGCAGTGCAACACGCTGTTACCTGCAAGGAGGATCCCACTGAGCTCAGGGGAGCTTTCTGAATGGACAGGTGCAAGAATTCCCTGCCAGTTTACCTGGAAAGGAATGGATGGGTCCGAGATATGTCCGGTTCATAGGCCTGTGCACGCATTTGAGAGATACTGATATTCCAAGAAAAACAAGACTGTTTAACTCCATCACGAGGGGGTACAGTGCAAGACACCCACCCTGGAAATGCTTAAACATGGCGTACGAAGAGACTGCAAACAAACAATCTCTCTCAAAGCACGGACGAGTCAGGAAAGATTGCCGTCAGCAACAGCCACTGTAATTCCCCTGAAACTCGGCGAGCTGGCAGGCAAGAGGAGGTGGCAGGGAGACAAAGCTGGCAGGGGGTCATCTTCTGACCCCCCCGCCCCGTCTTCCAGGGTCCTGGTAGTCTTACCTGATTATGTGGCCCCATCATGGTGGTGCTGGGGTTGTGTTGCAGGGGCTGAGCGTGCGGGGAGAGCTGGGAGCCTCGGGGGGCCTGGGAGGTGGGGGAAACGGAAGCCGGTTAAGGAAACAAGCCAGGATCACTAGCAAGCCCACCTCCTCTTTCTCCCCCTGGCCCCCCGGCTGAGGTCTGATCGTCATTCTGCAGAGATCCCAAGCGTCTATGGGAGGAGTGGTTTGGGGGCACAGCAAGTCGGGGCCCCCAAGCAGAGGGGCAGACGTGAGGTGGGTTGGGTGCTCCCCGTTCTGACATTCGTTTTACACGGAACGGTTGAACAGGGCTGTGGTTCCGAGGGAACGGAGGCGCCGTCCACAGCTAGGGCGGGACAGCCGTCCCTCCGACTGAGCCAAGCACCTGTGCCGTGTCCTGTCCTGACCCGGTCCCACCTTGTGAGGTACCTGGAAGAATCCAGGGGGCATCGGCCCCGCAGGCAAGCCATCGCCGGCCTGCATGGTGGACATGACGGGACTCATCGTCGCTGCCGCGGCGCTCTACAGGGAAAGGGGAACAGGGCTCAGGCCGGTGCATCCCACGCCCCGCAGGGAGGGCCAGGCCTCCCCACCTCCATTTCGGAGGCACTCTCCGTCCCACGCAAGGGCAACACAACTTGTGCCTTCCCCGCCACGTGCACGCACAATCTCAGACAGACCCTGCCTGTGAGGGTCAGACAAAATGACCGGAGGAAATCTGACTTGCACAAGATCTGGGAACGGGGCCCATGGGCCAGAAGTGGCCAAACCTGGCACTGGGGGTCCCACAGCAGCCACAAGAGATGCAGGTTTCCAGCCTGAGGCCGCTGTGTCAAGGGAACCGGCGCAGCTGCGTGGGGAGCCATTAAATGCCAAGACTCTGCTGCCTCTTTCCCACCGGCCCCCTCAAGCACCCTCTGCGCCAAGTGGTTTTAATTTAGTGCAGGGGGTGTGATGGCCCGCAGCTTGCTCTCTCCCCACCCCACGATTCTCCACAGAAGAGGCCTGGTGGAGGCAGAAACCCCAGTGTGGCCCAAGGTGATACAGGAAGAAGCCCCAGCCCGGCCCGTGCGGCCTGCCTCGCTCCCACACTTCCCTCCCGAAGTTGCGAACGCTGGAGAGAAAGGGAGTGCTACTCACGGGCCCCAAGAGCGCCTGGGCGAGCTGGCTGGCATTCCAGCCCTGCTGTTCTTCAGAGGCACAAGCACCGTCCCTTAGAGAATGTCCCTCCATCTCGCTACTCCGCATGTGACGGACCGTGAGCTCCCCGTTCCCAGAAACCAGGGTAGGACTGCCGCTGCCTCCAGACCCCTGCTCACCACCCAGCTAATCTCGGAAGCCCTGATTCTGCCCCACACCTGTCAGAATTCAGAGTGTACCTCCCCTGGGCAGGGATTCCTTGTTATTTCCAGTTTGGGATATCCTGGAGATAGACCCATAAAAGAAAAGCAGGGCAAAAACCAAGAAGGCTGCCGGGCGGTGTAGACAGAAAGCTGCACACACAGACAGAAGGTATCTATCGCCAAATTGATTACCAAAAATGTTCCCAAATATGTCAAAGAGATGTTGGAAGTGTAAACACAAACCTGGTACTTGCTATCATTTGTGGTGGGCTTGTGTTAAGGCAAAAAAATACTGGGTTAAAATATACAAATGGCTTGAGGAAATGCTGCATAAACCATTAACATTTAAACCTGAAGTCTTTCTATTAGGTATTATTCCTGATAATCTCCATCACAAGCTATATACTTGACTTTTCATATAACTACTGCGGTGTGGATTGCATTTGTCCAACATTGGAGAAGCGAAGAGGCACCTACTGAAGAAATGATTTTAAAAAAGAATTTGGATTGCACAGAAATGGACAGATTGACTTTGTCTTTGAAGGAGAAGGAAGATACAGACTTCCATCAAACTTGGGACATTTGCTATCATTGGTTAGAGAAACGGGACTATGCGCAGAACTGAATATGGTTGTTGAATGTAAAAAAAGAGTGAGATGTCGGCCCAGTATGTCCTATGTCCTCAGTAATTGTTGTTTTTAGTTTTGGATTTATAAATCATAAAATTTGATTAAAGAAAGAAAGAAAGCTGCACGCATGGGACTGGTCCGGGGACAACCTGTGCCAGCAGCCCCCTCCTCACATTGCAATGCGCAGCATGTGCTTCCCAGGCAGCCACCGGCCACGTGCTGGAAGTCTGGGAGGCCTGGGCACAGCCGCATCGCCTCAGGCAGGCGGGAAGAGGGGCGTAAAGGGGCAGCTGCTCCGGGCCGTGCCAGGGGAAAGGTGTTCCCGCACAGATGTGGTTCCCATGGAAACCGGCAGGGAGGGATGCCGGCAGCCGGGGGTGTCCACCCCCCAGGAGAAGCAAGCACCACAATTCCGTGCAATTAATGTCCCTGACACAAAGGATGCAAAACAACCGAAAAATGCTAAATTCCGGAAAATTAGAATGCAAGTAATGTTTTGTCTCTGTCTGCCTTTGCCCCCTTTTACCAGGTCTGGATGATTACTCTGCGTCACGTGTGCAAACCAATTTGGTGCCTGTACGTCATGTTTACAAATAGAGGCTTTTCATCTGCGGCTTTTCCTTTTAATGGGCTTCATGCTCTCCGCTGAAATTGCTTTGGATGCGCCCAGACTGCGAGGAGGAGAGGAGGCGGGTCAGGGCCCACCAGCCGCCCTTGGTTCCTCGCAAGAGGAAAGATGTATGGGACATCCATGTAATGGAATACAAATATTAAAAAGAGGTTTGGTCTCACAAATTATACATGAGCCTTCCTGCTTCCAACCCCGTGGATCAGGCCCACGCCTCCGGGGTTCAAGAGTCACAAGGGGCGGTCAAGGGTGGCACTGCCCCCCCCACACACACAAGGAGGATCTGCCACGCAAGGTGAATGGAGTGGCAGGCGGCCCCCCCTTGCCGGGGTTCCCCATGGCACCCCCTGCAGGGCACGGGATTCTGTGGCCGGCCGGGTCCCGCAGGGCCTCCGAAAAACCGGGGGACGGCGTTCGTTCGGCAGGTCCCACTATGGCCGGGACACACCCTGAACATAAAGGTCCAGCCGCCAGTCCTACCGTTCTGCTCCCCCCGGCGGGAGCGGTGAGCTGCCGTGTGGGCCCTGCCCCTGCCTTTGGCCCCGCTGGGATGCAGACCCCCAGACCTTCTCGGACGGGGAACTCGGCCGCCCGCAAAGGAGGTCCCATCCCGCCGGCACGTGGGCTGCTCACATCATCCACGCTTGCACGAGGGCGCCGTACTCACGTAATCGCGGAAGGGCTTGGCCTCGCTCGGGTGCTCACATACGTCCCGCCGGTCAGGCGCTGCGCAGTACAGGTCCCAAAACACACTGGAGGGGCCACGGGGAGCAGGCGGGAAGAGACGGGTCGGCCGTCAAGGCAGAGCTCTTGTCAGACACGGGGTCTGGGCTGCTCACCCTGGCACTGCCCCCTGCCGTGGCTGGGCCATGCGGCGTGGCCTGCAGGGGTGGAGGCGCCTCCAGGGCCATGCGGGCCCCCCCAGCTCCAGGCAAGATGCGGCCCTGCAGTGCAGGCCACGACCCCCTGCCACGTCCCACTCCTCCGGAGGGTCCGGAGCCGGCCAAGGCTAGCTGCTGAGAGCATTTTAGTGGGGAAGGCTGCTGCCCGCCCTTGCTAAGCAGAATCCTTGCAACCCAGGGGCACAGAACCCCCCACCCTTTCGGGGTTGTCCACCAGCCGTCCTCCTCTTCCGTGGCCACGGATCTTTTCATGGATCTTCAGCTCTGCTCACCCTCCACCCCATCCACATCTGAGATGCCTTTCTAAAGCTTGGCAGAGAAAGCTCTCAGAAAGCCAAACAAGTGAGCATTTTGGGCTTGGCTGGGACATGCCGGGACTCTAGGATTTCTTTTCTTGAACCATTGCAAAATGGCCACTGCTTGTCAGAACCTGGCAACGGGTGGCCCCCACGGACGGCGTGGCTGGGAGTCAAGTTGCCTCCCCAGGTCAACGTCGGGCTTTGGGCCCCGAGGTGGAGCTCCACACCCCGACCTTCCTTTGCTGGGGGACTGCACCGGGGCCTCGCCAGGGCTGGGGGATTTACCTTGGAGGAGGAAAGGGGGCAGGGGAGGGTGGGGGAAGCCAGGAGTCCCAGCACCCCCAGTGAGGGGGTACTGATGGGGTCCTTCTATCACTCGCTGCCCTGAAACCTCACAGTAGAAAAATCATTTTGATGGAAAGGTGGCAAGAGAAAGTGGAGGCAGAAAGGTGAGAGCGGGGGGGGGGGGGG